AGTGTAGGCCTATATTTTGAATTACCTATGTACTTTCAATAATTATATGCATTTGTTCAAAAAAAAATCTATATTAATGTTTGAAAATGAGAAATGACCTTTTTACAAGGTCTACTAATAAAATACAGTGACTGCAAACTTCTATATGTGTTTTAGATCTTCATTTTTTGCGGTTGATAAGCCTGCTTACTATGCATACAGTATAGTCTTTTGGGTCTACCAAGATGGTGGCCACGCTGGCTGAGTGGCTTCACTTTGACGTGAATAGCAAATAACGTCATGCCGTCTCCAGTTAATCTATACTCCTAGATTCATCCTTGGGTGATTACAAACAACCATACCAAGTTTCGTCGAAATCAGTCAAGAATTGTGCCTTGTAGAGTGTTTACGAGCAATTGTGGACGGACGGACGGACAGGGGTGACGGCAATATACGCCCCCCATTTCATGTGGGCGTATAAAAATTGATTGTATAATATATTATGTATATCAATTAATTAGTCTGAGTAGTTGTAGTTTTGATGATTCATGAGTATTTAAGTCAGAAGCGAAGTGGATAGAGCAAACGACCATCATAAAAATAGTTTGTTTCCCCTATTGCACTACCATTTCTTTCTAAGAAATGTGTTATTTCGTGACATTCGCCAATCGCCCTAAGTGTCTCAGAAAAAAAAAATTCTAGGGGTGTGTAATTTAACCCCTTACACTCCCGACTTGGAATTTCAACCCCAAGAGTCCCCCACCTTCTGCTTTTACCCTACGTTCAAGGAGACCGAAGTCGCTACTGTTTGATTTTGGTCTTTCTAATGAGAAATTGTGTTTTTATATAACAGATGATTGACGAATACGGTCTGTACATAAAAACTTATTTTCTATATATATAGTTCCATTAAAATTGGATATAGTTTAAAATAGTTAAAGTAGTTAAAGTAAACTGACAGGCAAAAGAAAGTTTTCACCGACTTCATTTGGCCACACACCAAAGACAAAGGAATATGTGAGATATATGATGATTAATTTATAAACAGAATCAATTTCCTAGAATTAGAATGAAAATGCATTGTAATACCGATATTCAATTCTCCGCAATACACAAAGGAAGAGTCAAAGGGTCAAAATTAAAAATTACACAAACCAAAGTTCATTGCGAAAGTGCATAAAGAGATTATTCCATGACAGTAGTTAGGCAAAACGTCATCAATAACGAGTTTGGCCACTCTGGGCAAACATGCATGCAAACACACGCCTCCTCATTGGCGTCGTCAGGCGGCGGATAACGTCAACAGGAATACTGTTCCATGAATCCTCCGGATGTAGCGGTAGTCGGCCGGTGTTGTCACCCTCAATCTTCCCGATCTTGGTCGGTCTTGGTTCTGTCCTGTCTGTTGAAGCAAATATTTATTTGCTGTGTGTTGATTTCAAATGTAAAATCATCAAACGCTATGTTTCTATGGAAAGAGAAAATTGGGAGTCTTGCAATAAAGTGGTAATACATAGGACTTTTCAAAGCAAGAGACACTGGCGCTTATATGATCCTTTAGGTGATGGGGAAACCCCCACACGGTACGTCCTGAAAGTTCTGAAAGACTTGCAGAAACTGCACAAGGCAGAGCGCAAAAGACTGCTGGAACGGAACAATGTGAATTAGTATTTAAAGGCACTGAACTCTGATTAAGCACGTCAAAATGATTGTGTTCTGAAGACTGTACGTAATCGGGATTTTCTGATGTTTTCCACGAATAGTGATAATGAGCTCGTCCCTTAATTCAAGACAGAGGCTTTCTCGGCAATACAAAACTTCCCAAGAAATCACGAGTGGTCTAATCGGGATCACTAATATTTTTCCGCAAACGGATTGGAAAACTCGTCTGTATTCAAGACAGAGGTCTTTGCAAAAATGTCCGAGAACTACCGAGTGTTGTAATCGGGATTAGTGATATTTTTCGCAATTAGATTAAAAAGCTCGCCCATGTATTCAAGACAGAGGTCCTTGCGAAAATATCCGAGAAAACCCGAATGATGCAATCGGGATTACCGTAAAATGAGTTAACCTCTGTCCACATTTTTTCTGTGATTGCCTAAAATATTGGATTTTCAGGGTAAATCGAATAAAAACCTTTTTTTTCCTTCTAGTTATCATCTAATTGGATGAAATTTGTAGTAATTAAAATTTTTTACAACAATATTGGAATATATTTATCGGGATAAATTTGGGTTTAGGAAATATAGCATACGATTGAAGTCCTATTTGTTTAAGGGGCGATTGAACCCTTTTTATATCTTATTTATTTTTCCCTTTCCTTGAAATATTATTACATATAAATTCATTAACATATGGAAGGGTGAGCAAATGTGTTTTATCCCAAGTACAAATTCTATGAAAAGAACGCTTTTTACCCTTTGCTCCCTGGGGGCACACATTTCTCACACGTGGATTGTCTGTGGTTGGAAAATATTTAAACCGATGAAAAAATTATTAGTAAGAAATACGTTGTTTCTATCAACATTTTCAGTGTGCAATGTGGTACATTTTTAGGGTTGATGTCTTGAAGGAAACTGTGTTTTTTCCGACTGTCTTCGGGTGGATAGAAATAACTTTTTCTGTAATGTTGGACAGGAAACTTTTGAAGACAATTGTGGAATTTTGGGGTTTGAGAATTTTACATTTGAAATAAACAAACTCCCCTTCTATTGTCTGAGAAAGTTCGTCAGTATATCGAATTTTGTCTATTTTGTAAGGTGGATTTGATTGCACGCTTCGAAACAGTACTGATAATCTGATAGAATGACTTTGCAATATAATTTTTCGTAAGAATCACACTTCCCTCTTTAAAATTTAAACAGAAAAAGATGTCAAAATCTTGACTGAAAATTGTCTTCTATATAAACAAAATTCAAAATGATAATGTGTGCTCATGTTAACATATTCATAAACACAAAGGCATTCTAATATTATCAATTCTGTTTTAATCAAATTCACTTTCATAAAATAAGCAAAATTCAATATGCATACGAACCTCTGTTCTGAGGGATATGCCCGCTATTTGAACACCAAGTAGAAACGCTACTGCTTGTTTTACGATCATTTTGGATTTACTAGTCTTCTATAATTTTATACACAAAATCTCTCAGTAGCTCCTTTCAAATTCCCCACAAAATTGAATATAATTCCATGGCCCATGGCTCGAGTAACTGATCCTTGTAACTTAATACAATGTAACAGTGAACACACACAAGCATTTTTGGCAGATTTAACTGCAGTCTTTAATCAAAGTTAAATTGAGTTTTCTCCCTTAGAACATAAATTGTTCTGATACTGTGGCATTTCTTTTTAGCTTCACAAGACATGGCATCAGTCGATTCTCTTTCCATAGCACCGTTCTGAAGGATGTAGAGCCTTGCATACTGCGAGACGACATTCAAATTTAACCTAGAAAATCAACAAATGCTGACAAAAAAATATGCAATGAAATTTAGATTTTCCCGTCAAAATTTCCTTCATTGCACACTTCAATATCTCCCGTCTCCCGCAGAAAAGTTTAGGAAGCTGGAGAATACATCTAAAGCTACTTTGGAAAGAAAGTAATATATATTTTTTATTTATGACTCAAAATCATGCAACCTTTCGTTCAGATCTGGCATATGAGCCAAAATCCTCCCAAAAAATTGTATTGTGGTGTTGCAAACGTGTTGTGCTACAATGAAAGTATCTATTTTTCTCCACTCCAATTTTTAGTCTGACTTTTAGCAATCAAATGATGCTATGTGTGTACCCCATACAATGTTTACAAAACCTCATTTTAAAAAAAAGTTGGGTCCATTTACCAAACCGCAGTCAGTAAAGCCAAAAAAACAAGCGTGATCAAATCAATGAAAAAGTGTTGTGGCCTCAACATGCAACATGCAGAAGTTCAACTAGAAAATAAGAATTGGTTAGATAAACAATTTATTTCATTAGTAACATTCTTACAATTATAACAGTCAAAGACATAGCCAATGTAACTTGAGACCATTCTAATCTAATTTTATTGCTGCATGATGATTCCACAAAATCAGAGCAGCAGACAAATCCGCTTACATTATTATTTCCATGTACTTCAGGGCAAATACTTTCTTTTGTCACTGTGACCTTCATAGAAATGTCAAAAAAACATTTACAGCATTATTTCAATCGTTTCGTAATCAAAGAGATCTTAAATGTCATAACGCGTTATCAATACAGTCCAATATCTTGGGCAATCTCTCCTTTCATTCATTCATTCTCTTTCTTTCATCAGAATATAACTACACTATATCATCTATATATCTATTGTTTCTATAACTTTAGCCGTAACACTCAGTGTAAGATTGACTGAAAAATAATAATAGAAATCTTTACTTATAGCTCCACACACATTTATTGAACAATAATAATTTCTCTCATTGTCCTTCAGAACATAACATAATTAACCCATTACATGTATATGCCTTTATTCATAAAACATGCTCTGTAAACCGACTTTTAGACCAAAATATCAGATGTAATAGTCTCAATAAAAGATTGTAAGATCTCTGTTACGAAAAACAAGAAAGAAAACTGAGTATTTAACTGATACAAAACCTGAATACAAACAGCAGCTAGTTGACCTGGACGAAGCTATCTTGACAACCAGATATATGTTCTCAGTAAAAACTGTTTCATTCATATCAATTTTACTGCTCATCCTAAATGTTTCATAGCCGGTTTGACTTTTCGCCTTGAAAAACTTCCCTGCTCTGTGGTGTACGAGGGAAATTTTGCCAGGATTGCATACTACATACTTTCCAATCCAGCTCTTACTCTTACGGGATCCTTAAGGTGTACAATCTGTAGCAAACAGGACCTAAGTTAATTGCCCAATGAAAAGAACTAAACTATTTTTCCATGTTAGCCGATCTACCCTGCATCCGACGATGAGAAACCAAAAAATAGGTACTATCTTATCTTGCTTGCTTTGAATGCAAAGAGGTAAATCTAATATTAGACTGTATACATAAACTGTACTCTGCTGAACTAAACTTTGAAAGTAATCATTGTAAAGGCTTAAGTTATGACCTCATTGCTGCAAAAGCAATGAGGTTCAAGGACAGGCTGTAGCACCGATGGTAAGAGCATCAGAATCTTTACATGACGTCATTCGTTTGGTAAAGTTTAGTAGATGTTGATCAAATGTTATCATCTGAAGTTTTTCCCAGGATCTGCTAATCCATTTGTTATCCTTTTAAAAATATTTGTATCTTCAATTCCTCCTTTTAAAGGATAATTTACTTCTGTTTTACATGCTCTTCCAATCTTCCAAGCGATCGTTCCAAATTTCTTGCCCTTCACACCAATCAATCCATCTCGGCAGGACAGGGACGATGAGCTCCCTGCAAGATTTCTCCCTGCCTACCCTAAAACTATATTATCTATATCGCCAATATCTGAAATAGAAAAAAAAACATTAGATTAACAAGAAAGACAGATTGACAGAAAGCCGAGCCAAAACTAAAAAAGCAGACACCCAAAAACAAAAAATGAAACTATTACTCTTTCCACTATTATCTGAAAAACAAAAAAAATATAAAAAAATTACCCCAAAAATATTGAAAAAGTGCCATGGCTTGACTTGGCAGGAAGCAGCTGTGGCTCAGTGAGTTTGTTGCCTGCCTGCTTCACTTTCAGAAAGGTTGAGGCAATACCTTTGAAGTTCTCAACCCCTGTCAATGATGTCAAGTCAGCGGCGTTGGTATAAAAAAAAGGTCTAGAGACAATAAACTAAGGCTCTGTGTGCTAAGGCTGTTCACATCCTTGACTGGTGGAAATTGAAATCCTTATATCCTGCAGAATTTCCCTCATTTAACACAATTGCAAGTATGACACCATTTCATTTCTATCGGCTGGTAAAATGAAAATATTTAGATGACATACCTGCGGTTTCTTTATCTGCATGCATGTATGCTTCTTCTCATTGTCCATCAGAACATAACATAATTAACCCATTACATGTATATGCCTTTATTCTTAAAACATGCTCTGTAAACCGACTTTTAGACTACAATATCAGATGTAATAGTCTCAATAAAAGATTGTAAGATCTCTGTTACCAAAAACAAGAAAGAAAACTGAGTATTTAACTAATACAATACCTGAATACAAACAGCAGCTAGTTGACCTGGACGAAGCTATCTTGACAACCAGATATACGTTCTCAGTAAAAACTGTTTCATTCATATCAACCCATATCAGGAAATCACAACTTACTTCTGTTTTACATGTTCTTAGAGATCGTTCCAAATTTCTTGCCCTTCACACCAATCAATCCATCTCGGCAGGACAAGGACGATGAGCTCCCTGCAGGATTTCTCCCTGCCTACCCTAAAACTACATTATCTATATCACCAATATCTGCAATAGAAAAAAAAACATTAGATTAACAAGGGCACTTTGAATTTTCTAGTTTGAGGTATATTTTCTAGTTGGAGGTATATTTTCTAGTTTGAGGTATATTTGCAAATGATGTACAGTTCTAGTACTTTTGAAGCCATTTTTACATATTTGATGTCGAATCTCAAACTCAAAAAGGTGACTGTGCGATGAAATCAATCTCAGGTCGGTTAATCAGAACCTAATCAATGCCTCTAAAGATTCCAACCTACATTAGGCTAGCGTTCTGTATAATCTAGTTATTAAAAAATATTTCCAGATATTTTAAGATTCAAACTTATCTTCTTCACTCTTTTAGACCATAAAAACAATTTTATCTGAAACCATGCTCCAACACCATTATCTGACACCATATTCTAATACCATTATCTGAAACCAAACACCAACACCATTATCCGACACTATATTCCAACACAATTATCTGACACCATACACCAACACCATTATCTGACACCATACACTGTTCTCTTCTTATCTCAATAAACCAAAGAGTAATCTAATAATAATTAAAATACCATGTATATTAAAGTGTCAGTATGCAAGATTTCTAAAATAATTTACAAATTAAATCATAAACCATCTTTCTGTTTTTTTGGGATTTTACACTGTTGAGTGCTCAGACTGTACCACATGTGGTATAGGTATTTTGTCCCATCCGAACATCCCTTGACACAAAAAATACCCATATCTGAAAATCATAAAACATGTAGAAAAAAGGCTAAAAAGAAAATATAATACTTAACCTCAAGACCAAGTTCCAGAAAGAATTCCTACATGCCAATTCCACATATCCACAAGCCAACAGAGAATCTTTTATTTCTTGACTATAAAAATACCAATTATTGAAATAGAAAAACATCATTACACTGCCCCTTCCCCAATTGAAATAGAAACTAACCAAACTTCTAAACCTACCAGTTTATGATCCAAAAAAACTAAAACCAACACAACTAAACAAAAGTCATGGACAAAACAGCACACATCTGAACAAACTACAGCAGAAAGCCAAACAAATATGACAGAAAGCCGAGCCAAAACTAAAAAAGCAGACACCCAAAAACAAAAAATGAAACTATTACTCTTTCCACCATTATCTGAAAAACAAAAAAATATAAAAAAATTACCCCAAAAATATTGAAAAAGTGCCATGGCTTGACTTGGCAGGAAGCAGCTGTGGCTCAGTGAGTTTGTTGCCTGCCTGCTTCACTTTCAGAAAGGTTGAGGCAATACCTTTGAAGTTCTCAACCCCTGTCAATGATGTCAAGTCAGCGGCGTTGGTATAAAAAAAAGGTCTAGAGACAATAAACTAAGGCTCTGTGTGCTAAGGCTGTTCACATCCTTGACTGGTGGAAATTGAAATCCTTATATCCTGCAGAATTTCCCTCATTTAACACAATTGCAAGTATGACACCATTTCATTTCTATCGGCTGGTAAAATGAAAATATTTAGATGACATACCTGCGGTTTCTTTATCTGCATGCATGTATGCTTCTTCTCATTGTCCATCAGAACATAACATAATTAACCCATTACATGTATATGCCTTTATTCTTAAAACATGCTCTGTAAACCGACTTTTAGACTACAATATCAGATGTAATAGTCTCAATAAAAGATTGTAAGATCTCTGTTACCAAAAACAAGAAAGAAAACTGAGTATTTAACTAATACAATACCTGAATACAAACAGCAGCTAGTTGACCTGGACGAAGCTATCTTGACAACCAGATATACGTTCTCAGTAAAAACTGTTTCATTCATATCAACCCATATCAGGAAATCACAACTTACTTCTGGTTTACATGCTCTTAGAGATCGTTCCAAATTTCTTGCCCTTCACACCAATCAATCCATCTCGGCAGGACAAGGACGATGAGCTCCCTGCAGGATTTCTCCCTGCCTACCCTAAAACTACATTATCTATATCACCAATATCTGCAAAAACTGTTTCATTCATATCAACCCATATCAGGAAATCACAACTTACTTCTGGTTTACATGCTCTTAGAGATCGTTCCAAATTTCTTGCCCTTCACACCAATCAATCCATCTCGGCAGGACAAGGACGATGAGCTCCCTGCAGGATTTCTCCCTGCCTACCCTAAAACTACATTATCTATATCACCAATATCTGCAATAGAAAAAAAAACATTAGATTAACAAGGGCACTTTGAATTTTCTAGTTTGAGGTATATTTTCTAGTTGGAGGTATATTTTCTAGTTTGAGGTATATTTGCAAATGATGTACAGTTCTAGTACTTTTGAAGCCATTTTACATATTGATGTCGAT